TCCTCGCCACTGGCAGATACGTAGCGGTCACGGTCATCTTGCGCTTCGCAGGTGCTAGCTCGATCGAGTGCAAAACATCGACCACCCCTCTCAGTACTGTGTATGACTGTTCCAATACATGTGATGCTCGTGCAAAGATGTGTATGGTTAAGTCGTCAGCGTACACATGCAGCGCCCTGTCGACATCAACTGTGGAGCTGATCAGGGCGTCGAGGGGGGTGAGCATGACGAGCTGCAAAATATACATGGCCATGCTACATCCTGGCAATACCCCCCGAGAGGCCCAGACGACTTCCGAGAAAGCACCAGACCAGAAAAGCCTCCTAGATGACGCATACATTTGCATTGCGAGGACCAGTAGGGGCCCAGGAAATCCATGCAGGAGACCCGCCTTCAGTATGAACACCCAGACGACCCGATCGAAGCATTTCTCGATGTCCACTATCGCATGCACACATACCACATCATCCTGCAACATCTTTTTCCGTGGAGGAAATGCTTCTCCATGTGACAGAACTCTGGCGGCCACGTCCGTCGTAGCGCGGTTGGCTCCGAGTGCAATGTAGTCGCGACCAAGCTGATTCGCCCAGTCTCTCACAAGGTCCAGCCGGGCCTTCGCCCAGAGACGGTAGAGCGAAACCAACAGAGCGATAGGCCTGTGTCCCCCCGTCGGCTTGCGCAGCAATGCAATGTGCACGTGCATGAGATATGTGGGCCATGTCCCCCATTGTTCACTCATGTAAGACAAATCTCCCAAGACAGCCAGTGCTTGATCAGAAACAAGGGCCCAATGACGGGGCCTCCATGGGTCAGCACCCACAGCCGTTCTAACAGGAAATGACTTGGCGGCTCTTCGGAGCCTGGAGGTCCCCATAGGAGGCAGGCGAGGCCCAGAGTCCCGAAGGCGATCAAGTTCTTCTTGTAGGGGAGCTAGTAGGAGAGGTACCACCGTCCCAGATGCCCTCCCAGAAGTCCCTTTGGCTGTTGGCGGCATCGTCGTCGTAGCTGGACGGCCCCACGGGTGTGTTGACTTGACTTAGCTGCCACCCCTTCGGTTTCGTCCACATATGTACTGGCTTCGGGCGGCTGCTCAGGCTGTCACGTAGCCATTTAGAGAAGCCCTGGCCCCTAGCCCGCGCAAGCCTTTGCTCTTCACGGTCAGCGAGGCGGTCAAGGCCAGAAGCGACCGCTCTCATCATGATCTCGTGCATCCACTGCGGCTGCGCAAAGACGGCTGTGATAAAATACACAATTTCATCTAGCAGGCCTTCGGGCAGGACTCTCGCCAATCTCGACAGTCGCCCTTTGCCTGAAATCAAATCATGTGGGGGCCGCCAGACAGAATGGTGACGAGCAGCAGGTATCGAGCCATACTTGCGCACCGTGTGTGCAAGGTCCTCCACCGTGTGCTGGAGAGCACGTAAGGCTCGAGAGTATGTAGTGCCAGCGGGCCTCCGAAAGGCCAGGGCTCCACCAGCAGTACTATGACGATGTTCAACTGTACGTCCTCTCCCCGCGTGCTTTCCTGCGTCAGTAGGCTGGAAAAGCGGCACGAGCTCCTTCTCAGCCCCTCTGTAGATGGCCTGGCACAAGTGATCGAGTCGTCCCTGCCTGGACTCTGCAGAACCTGGGCCGAGGTGCGCATCCGCTTTCATGAGGCCAAGCCAAGAGATCCCTGGATGGCCAAGCTCCACTGCGTTACCCGGTGGGTCGTCGTCTCCCTCCAGCAGCGGGGGGAAGTCGGGCTTGGGGGCGTAAGGGCGTGGAGCCTTGAGCTTGACAACTTGTCTCGCTCTCGACCTCACTGCCATCGGGTGATGCGGGCGTGGTGGATTGTCCGCGACTCGCCTCGCATGCTTCATCTCAGCCGCTAAGCATTCACTCCACCCAGTAGTCCAAGTAGGTGTGGTCTCCCGTCTTCGCCACCCTGTGCGAGCCAAGGGAAGCTACGACCAGCTGGCCGTCGATCTTCTCCACAAAATTTGACTCGCTCAGCTTTGCCGGACTTATATTCCAGTCCGCTGCGACGATGAAAGGAGCATGATATAATCGGAGCAAGGATCCGAGCCTCTCCAGTCAAGAGGCGTTGTCTCCCCGCAGCGCCAGGCCCTGCTCCAAGTAGAGGAAGCATGCCACAAAACCGCCACGGGGCCCCGCGGGGACGTACACCGCAACACACCAGCTCGGTATGATCACGTGATCGATGACACCGCCCATCGCGCCGAGATAGGTAGTCCCAATGTGATGTCGTATGACTAGACCAGACCCAGCCATCGGCTTACCAGTCGGGCCCGTAAGACATTCCGTTATGAATGCCTTCCAACCATTGCGATGACACCATTCCTCGGCCTGCAAGCGAGCATCTCCAGAGAGGCGCACCTCCTGGGCCGCCACCAGCAGGGGGCCACCAGCACCGTCCTGTAGGTAGTCCTTCAAACGGTGCCAGCCGTTTGCATTGTACGTAGATGTCGTGAAGTCCTTTCGGCTGGCCCGCCTGGGGGCCCGCCTAGCGGTCTCCGTCCGCTGCTGCCGCATGTCG